TTTTGAGCGGGAAGGGAAAACACCTGGTGATGCTCAGAGATTTTTCCTGGCTCAGCACTTAGGAATCACTCCTGGAAGGGCTTGGGAGACCATATGGGGTGTCCGGGATTAAAGATGGGTTGAGTATATTCAAGGAAAGTGCTTTATCCACAGTATTAATTACCTCTCTGCCCCCAAGTAGCTCTCAAACTTTTGAGTGTTTGGTGGGGGTGTGGGGGTGGGCTTACCTAGTGGTGTTCAGGCACTACTCCCAGCTTAGTACTTTGGAAGGATTGCTTCTGGCAGGATTTAGGGGACCATTTGGTACTGGGGATTGAACTTAGGGCTCCTTCATGGTCTTGATTTATTTCTTTACACATAGCTAACATACTTTTAATTTTGTAGTCTACGTGAGACTGATGCTACTATCAGTTATTATTATTTTTTTGCTAGGAATACCTTGTTTCCTTATGTATAACTTCTTTTATATATTTAGATTTTTTTCACCCTTGATTTGTTACCTTTAAATGATTCCTTGTGGGTAAAGACACAGAAATAGCAAAATGGGTAGAGTGCTTGCCTGACATGTAGCTGACCCAAGTTGATTCCCTGGCACCACATATGGTTCCTCAAGCTCCATCAGGAGTGATCCCTGAGCACAGAGCCTGGAGTAAGCCCTGAGCACTACCAGGTGTGACCCACACAAATTAAAACAAAACAAAAAAGATGCCTATGGATTCTTTTGCCATCTGGGAGGAAAGAATTACTTTTCTTCAGAAAGGATTTTCATTGGATTAATTTGGTTTGGAGCTCCTTAAGAGATTGACACTGGCACTGTGATGTGTATTTCTTGCCATCTGTCAGAGCAATTAATAGTGCTCTACTTGGTTGGATAAAGCCAAACTAAAGTTTAATAAGAAACTTTGGCAACACGGAGCATTCATTTCTGTTTGGTACATTCTGCTCAGAGGCACCCAAGTGGAAGCAACCAGTTGTATGTGTCTGTATCATTGCACTAAAAATTCAGATTTAACACAAGACCTCCTGTTATCCCCTCCCTCTCTTCCTCCTTTCCTCTCTCCCTTTGTTCTTTCCTTCCTTCTTCCCTCCCTCCCTCCCTTTATTTCCTTCCTTCTCTTCTTTTCCTGGTCTGAGAAACATATTTTTTTAAATTTTGCTTTTTGGGTCACACCCAGTGATGCACAGGGGTTAACTCCTGGCTCTGCACTCAGGAATTACTCCTGGTGGTGTTCGGGGGACCATATGGGATGCTGGGAATTGAACCCAGGTCAGCCATGTGCAGGGCAAATGCCCTACCCGCTGTGCTATTGCTCCAGCCCCAGAAACATATTTTAAACCAAGACCGCGTCCTATTTTCTCTTATGGACAGCCAGGTCCTCACCTCATGGAAAATGACTAATAGAATTTTGACTAAATGAGAGGCAGCAGAGATAGTAGAGCAGGTAGGGAAGTTGCCTTACATGTGACTGACCTGGGTTTGATTCCCTGGCACCACATATGGTGTCCCCCCAGGAGCACAGAGGCAGGAGTAAGCCGTGAATATCATCACGTGTGGCTCAAACACCAGACCAAAATAGTTTTTTCCTCTAAATGAACAACCCTTTTAGTTACCATATCTTATTGATTTATTTTTTTCTCTTTATATTTTTGGTCAGTTAAAATAATTATTTTGTACTGTATACCATTTCTAATGGGGAGTATATTTTAATTCAAAGTAATTGCTATCTATGTCTTTTCTCCTTTATAAATTCCTCCAAATTCTGAACCACATAGAAATGACAACTTAGTAACTGAATTTCCTAACTACAAATAAGTATAATTCTACAAAATAAAACACTAAACAGCTTTCTGGCTTTAACTGAAATTTTTAAAGCAGAAAAATTCAGTATCTTCAATGGGTGACTGTTGTAGCTTTAAATAGTTTTTTAAAAGAAAAAAAAAAGAAAATCTAGTTTTTTTGTATTTATTCTTGTCTATCTGTTGTCCTTTTAAATGTATTCCTCAAAAATAAGGACCAATATCAGATGTTCTTACTCATAAGTCACATATAGAGAACAAAGGAATAGATAATATCAAATGATGACAAACCCTTGGCTTTGGATTACAGAACTGAGATTATCTAGTAGTGAGGGAAGAGGCTGGGCAGGAAGGAAGCCGTGGACAAGAGGTAACAAGGAACAGTGGTGGAGGGTCTTGGACACTTTGCTGATCACGAGATGAGGTCACTGTGTACACTGAAACCATAAATGTTAATGGTTTGTAACCATATTTCCTAATTTAAAAAATATTCCACAAAATACACCTTCCATGAAAATTTTCTCTTTTTCCCTGGCTGTATCCTATACTAACAGGTTTGGCTAAAACTGAAGCCATTTGTTCGTAACTGTATTTATAGGTAAAGTCCTTGGAATCTTCTTTTCAAATGTGCACTGGTACACATGACTTTTCTTTTATCTTGAACTGTGATGTCTGTTTTAATATAGCTAATTGGATCCCAGTATATATACATACATATATGCTTATGTATGTGTGTATACACACATATATATTTTATATATATATATATCATGCATTTGTGTATGTTCGCTCTGATTATTAAATTGTTGTGGACCCAATTTGCCACTCATGTATTTGGATTCATTTTTCCCATGAATTCATCCAGGAACTTTATTCCTATATAAAAGAATGAGCTCATTCTAAAGTAAGTGGGGTTCCCTCGAGGTACAACCTCTATCAGAAAAGTCAGGTAGCAACTCCCCTTAGTGGTACATGTTGAGCCAAGAGTAGTTTTCCAGAGTGGGTGATAGTTTATAGATGAGCTCAGATATAGATGCCTTGGCTGATCGATGGCATCTGGTGGAACTCCAGCAGTACCTGCACTTGTCCCCCAGAATTTGGGGTCGCTTGACTCTGGAATGACATATTGTTTATTTCTGCTGTCCCAGTAAAGTGGCATTCCATCTTGCATAGTGAAAGCACGGGCTTGTGGAATTGAGTCTTCAAAGATCTGAAAGAATGCCTCTTTCACTGCCCTCGTTGCCATGTGCTGTCGTTCATATAACATACAACGGCAGGGACTTAGCCAGATACCACTCTCCAGCCCAGCCTGACACATACTTGCAGCTGAGAGCCAAACTATGAGTGACCGAGAAGGCTATGGAAATTTATTTTGTGTGTTGCAAGGACCTGCTTGCCCTATCAACTAAACACTGCCTAAGGATCAGATTCAAGAATGGGCCCATTCATTGTTTCCTTCATTTCTCTTTGTAGCATTGCAGCTTTGATCTGGGGTCCCCTGCAGGCTTGGTTATGGAGCTCACACAAAAACTTGCTGGTGGTCCTCTCTGAACGTCACTTTCCCTGTGCCGCTCGCAAGTGTGCTCACTCGGGGTCACATCATTTTGTTGTGCTTGTGAACAGTTCAGCTCTGGTACTCTTCAGGGGTCACTGTGATGCTCACACATGTTGCTCACCAGGTTTGGGGTTCAGACATCTTTGCTTGTGGTGGAGCCACACTCCCTCTGTGACAGCATCAGTGTGCCACACACCTTCTGCGATCACGCTTAGCACATGTGCATGAGGCATATAGGGACCACTTGCAAGGCAAGTACTTTGCAACTCAACGGTCCCCCTGCGGTCCCTATCCCTACCCAGAGCTTCTTGCTTCTTTTACTTCTATTTTTTTTTTATTTTTTGGTCACACCCAGAGATGCACAGGACTTACTCCTGTCTCTGCACTCAGGAATTACTTCTGGAGGTGCTTGGGGGACCATATGGGAACCGTATGGGATGCTGGGAATCCAACCCAGGTTGGCCACGTGCAAGGCAAACGCCCTACCCACTGTGCTATCAATCCAGTCCCTGCCCAGAGCTTTTTAAGTTCAGGGCAAACAAGTCAAAGAGAGTTTCAGTCTGATCCACTCTTTTTTTTAACTTTTTATTAGTGAAACACCATGAGGTACAGTTGTAGACTTACAAATTTTTGTGCTTGGGTTTCAGTTATACAATGATCGAGTACCCATCCCTCCACCAGTGCCCATTCTCCACCACCACTACTCTGTTTTTAAACAACCACTTTTTTTTCTTTTTTAATTTTAGGAATAATCTTTGCTTATGGCTAAACATGAAGGTGCTATGAGAGGGATCCTAAGTGAATAGTAAAGGTTATATATCTTTATATCTTGGTTTTTATTTTCCCTCTACAGAGATAACAACTATTAGTATCTTCCTGCATTCCTATGTAGAAATAGTTGTAGATAAACTTGTATAATATACAAAATTTTATATGAAAAGATAGTCTATAAACCACTCTCTCTTGTTTATACTAAGCTAATAGTAGATCCTACAGGACTTTCTATCTCAGTCATCTATATCTATCTCATTTTAAGTGACTATATAACTGTCTTATAATATATTCAATCTTATTTCTTTTTAGTAGGCTTTTAGATTGTTAGTGATTGTTTGTGTTCAGTTTAGTGTTCAGTTCCAACACGCCCCTCCAAATGATTTTGCAGCTACAAGTTTTTTTTCCCCGTTTCAGAATAAATGTCCTCTTTTGTCTTTCTTTGCACATAAATTCTTGCTTCTCAACAGAAAAATGCTGACATGAATGTGGCGACCAGATTCCCTTCATCTCTATTAAGTAATTAGGCCGTTCAGCCAAAGCCAGGCTCGCGTGCACTCTGCCCATTTGTTTCTCAGCCTCTTTCCCAGAATGCATCTTCTAATCAGGGGAAAATAGACCTCATCATTGAAAAGAGCTGCAAGTAATTCTCAAGTTTAGGTCGTCATGCTAGCAAGTTCTAAAACCCACTCGGGCTTCTAAATGAAGTATCAGGATTACTATTTTGGGCAGAACAGAACTCGGAATCTTGCTCCGAATTTAAGAGGTTCCAGCGTTAAGAGCTTGTCTAATTTTGCAGGGTGCAGACGTGCAGTCGGACTTTGCGGAAATCCAGCCCTGCTGTACTTACACGTGCCTCTGTCTCTTTTGCTTCCAGTGAAATACATGCGAGAAGCCACGCCCTATGTGAAAAAAGGCTCCCCAGTCTCTGAGATTGGGTGGGAAACGCCTCCGCCGGAGTCCCCTCGGTTAGGGTCCGGCTCCTCGGAACCCCTGGCTTCGCAATCCTTCTCCTTCCATAAAGATCGGAAAAGCATCCCTCTCAAGATGTGCTTCGTCACCAGGAGTCTGGCCTTGGCTGACCCCGAGAACAGGTAACGTGGCCAGTGGCCTCTGGATCTCAGCAACTCTTTAGCCTCGGAAATTGCAGGGAGGATTTTCCTGGTCTGTGGTCAGAGTCTGGATATGCTTAATGGTTTCCAGAGAATGATCTGGAAGAGGGAACTCGTGTCCTCTCTTCTCTCCTTCTTCCTTTTTTTTTTTTTTTTTGAAAGCACTCATTAAGAATCTGTCCACTGAGCTGTGCTTTTTCTCGAATGGGATCTGATGTGTCTTCCTTGGTCTGGTGTTTTCGATTTGTGTCCTGGGTTACTATTTTGTCATTGTATTACCCAGTTTTTATTTTGAACAAGTTTTTCCAACACAAAAACCCGACTTTTGTCATCTGTAAAATTGAAATAATAAAAAACAAACCGCATTGGGTTGTTAGAATTCAATACGGAAATCTTTGGGAAGTTCTCAGCATGGGAAAACCTCTCATGATTATAAATTATAATACTATTTTTCTTCTTGTTACCTACCAAGAATCAATCCTGCTTTTCTGAATGGCCCTCAGGATGCTCAACTGTGTAATAATACCAGGGTTAGATGTGAGCATCTTATGCTTTACTCTACACCTCTCTTGATATTTGTGAGGAAAAAGAGAAGAGGTAGCTCAGTTGGTAGAGTGGTAGAGTCCCTGTTATGCAAACACAAGGCCTCAAGTTAGGTCCCCAACACCACCCAAGTGCCAAGTACAATCCTTCCAGAAGTGCTGTTTGTGGTGATCCTTGGCCCTAACAAAGTGTGAGCGGTCTCTGACACACTAACACCTGGTATGTGCAAGTACTGTGATTAGTGTGCATGGCCCCAGTCACTGCAACAATAGAGGGAGTATTTTGTAAAGGGAGAGGGAAAGTGATTGGGTATTCCAAGCATGGTGTGTCATTTTCCCAAACTCAGTACTTGAGTCCTCAGGCCATAGAGTAGAAGTCAACCAGTCAACCACAATTTTAAGAACTCCCACCAAGGGGCCAAAGTGGTATTTCAATGGGTAGAGCCTTATACGTGGCCATCCTGGATTCGATCCTCAGCATCTCAATGGTCTCCCGAGCACCACCAGGAGTAATCTCTAAGTTCAGAGCCAGGAGTAACCCCTGAGCATTGCTGGGTGTAGCCCAAAAATAAAGAGAAATTTCACCAGGATGTTCAAATTGTGGTTCTCCTGTACTCCAGAACTCTTATTTTAGTGCATTGTAATAGAAAACGTGTGTTTTTGGAAGAAGGGAAGAGCATTGAGTCCAGCCAATAAACCGGGATGCTGAGTGACCTTTGCATGCACATTAAATGCTAAAAATAGGAGCAGCTCTACTGGCCTGATTCATTCCATGTGTGGGAGGGACAGCTTCAGCCCACACGAATAGGAATTGATCAACTCTGCTCAGATTTGTGGATGGGCAGAGACCTACAGGAATAGGAGCATAGAGAAAGTGTCCCCTTTGGCTCACAGCTCAATGCTGATTTGTTCTCCACCCAGGGTTTTGCTCTAAGGAAACTGCCAGGGCTCCGACTTGGTCAGCTGTGCCATCTACCCACTCTGCATGTCCTCCCAATGTCATCTTATATCTGCCCAGGGACTCTGGCAAGAGAGATCCATCAAGTATCACAAAAGCTGTCTAAGGCAGGCTGATGGGAAGGAGGAGAAATTCTTCTGTGAGCCATGCCCACTCCTTGACATTCCATTTCTTCTCACTTTCTGCTCACTTTCTGGGCCTGCAGGTGTTTCCAGTTACTCTTGCGTTTCCTATTCCCTGACCTCTTCCCCATCCAGTCCAATGAGTTGGTTTTCCAAGGAATCCAAGGTCTCTGGTTTTTCCATCTGATGGGTTCATGATGTTTAAATGTTACTGTCTTGTGTCAGGAATTATGCTAATTCCTTCAGACTAGAGAATGCAAAGTGGCAGCCCACAGGTATAATCAACTAAAGATGGGGTATTTTGCTTATTTAATGGCCTTCCTGGGTTTTAAAGACATTTAAATACTTGGCTGTATTCAATGTTGGGAAATTTCACGTTAGGCAGCCAGAACTTTGCTCTTCTAGAAAAACTGGAAGATCTGATAATTTGGTAAGGTGTATGCTTCCATAGGCAGGTCTTATATCTACAGAAGCTCAGGAGAGATGTCATTTTTTTTTAATTGAGCCACTGTGAGATACACAGTTACAAAGCTGTTCACTATTGTGTTTCAGTCATACAATGTTACAACATCTATCCCTCCACTAGTGTACATTTTTATCACCAATGTTCCAAATTTCTCTCCCGCCTACCCTCACTCCACCCACCACCACCCCACAGCCTGCCTCTATGGCAGGTCCTTTTCTTCTTTGAGAGATATCATTCTTGGTGGGCTGGAGCGATAGCACAGCGGGTAGTGCATTTGCCTTGCACGCAGCCAACATGGCCGACCTGAGTTCGATTCCTCCGCCCCTCTCGGAGAGCCCAGCAAGCTACTGAGAGTATCTCACCTGCAGGGCAGAGCCTGGCAAGCTACCCGTGACGTACTCAATATGCCAAACACAGTAACAACAAAGTCTCCAATGGAGACGTTACTGGGCCCGCTCAAGCAAATTGATGAACAACAGGAGGACAGTGGCATTCTTGGTAAGAGGATAAACTGCTTCACCACTCTTAACTACCTCACTGGTAGGCATCTGATCAATTTCCTGTCCAGTCCTCTCTGCTTCCTCACTAGTCCTTGAATTTGTAACCCTGCTTGTTTCTCCTAACCATCCTCTGATGTTTCAATATAAATTTTTCACTGCCTCTGTGGATTGAAAAATAAAAGCGATGGAGGACAGAGTGATAGTAGGATGTGATACAGCAGGTAGGTTGTTTGCCGTGCACGTGACTGACCTAGGTTCGATCCCTGACATCCCATATGGTCCCCTGAGCACTGCCAGGAGTGATCCCTGAGTACAGAGCCAGGACTAACCCCTGAGCATCATCAGGTGTGACCCAAAAAGCAAAAAATAAAAATTTAAAAATTAAAAATTCCCTACAGGCCAGTTCTTCCATATGGACCAAACATCATATTGCTTATATTTGCTTGAGCTTAACTTCAAACTCATGCCTTTATGGGATTGAGTATGTAAATGCAGCATTGCCATCAAAAAATTAAAACAGATTAGGAAATTTTGGTCTTATTAAAGCATGGGGAAGAGAGGTCAAGTGTATGACTTAGAGGGTTCCTTCTGTGGATTTATATGCTATCATTTTTTTGCATGCCATATTTTTAAAAGTCTATTATGGGAGACATCAGGCTTTCGTTCATATTGTGGAAGCTTTGTGCTGTGGTTCTGCTGGTACTGATAAACATGTTTTCAAAATTATATATTAGTGCTTTAGGTCCACCCTGAGGAGTGAATGATGACTTTCCCAGTTTTAATAGGAAATACAGCTCAGTGAGAGGGCCCATGAGAAAACTTTAGTTCAGAGAGTTCCAGTATACTGCTAATATAAGGGGCCTGATGGAGATCATCTTACATTCATTGAGAGAAAGAGGAGAAAAGGAAAAAGGACAAAAGGGATAAACCATTGGCTAAGGTACTTGTCTTGCATGTGGCTGATCCTGGTTCAATTCCCAGCATCACAAATGCAAAACAGAAAGAACAAAACAAATCAAGGAAGGACTGGTTTGTACTAAATGCACAAGAAACGTTCAACAGTTAGGAGCTCACAATAAATATTGATATAGCAAATTTACAACAAACATTTAGTTGTCAGGAATGCTCAAGAAATAACAGCAAGGACTTTATAGCAGAATGGAAATGAACTAAACACCACAATACTGGCAATTTAAGTTATTCCTCTCCCTTCAAAATAGGGTCAGTGAGCAAAAGACAAGTAAAGACATAGAAGACCCAGACGATATAGTTAACCAGAAAGATGAGTATATACTGCAAACTTTATAAAGTGTAATTGTTTCTTTTTTTGAGAAACAAGGAGAAAGAGAGCCAGTAGACTTAGGAAATAAGCACACCCAGTATGGAGTCTGGTTTCCCTCACAGATAATGAGACCTTAATAATCCTAGCAACAACCCTAGTAGGTATTCAAGTCTATTTTATGGACAATGAAACTTGGTTTAGAAAAGCGAGTTGTAACAAATGGTAGGTCTGAGGTGCCAGACCAGACCCAGAAGACTCCAGCCCAATTGCTTCATCATAACACCCCCATTACTCTGACTTTAGCACCTGGCAGAACAACTCACGTGAACTGCAAGCACATAGCCAGGAGTTAAATAGTCTCCTGTATGCCAACCCGAGAATAGATGACAAATGCCATAGTTGGTGACATACAGCCACTTAGAGTTTGCATTAAATACACTAATGCTCAGCTTCTCCAGTAGAAGCAGCCCTGGCACAGCAGGCAGGATTGCTGCTCTTTCTGTGGAAAAGGTCACTCAGCAGGCACCCAATCCACAGACACATGTCCCTGCTAGCACTTGTCAATGATTACAACATTTTTTGTGTGTGTGCTATTTATTGTGCTTTTCAGGCAGCTCTTTCTCTCCTAGGTCTTACCTTCCCGAACCGTAGCCTTAGTCCTTTGGACCATTTGGCCTTCTTTCCTGCTGGATACACTGTTTACTCCTTTCTAATCTCTCACCTTCTCCCAAAACTCAACTGGTCAAGAAAAGTGTGAAATGCTCATGTTGAACCTGCTTGTTTAGATGGTTCCTCTCCACCTTCACTGGTACCAAGACTCCTGTGTATGGAGTAAAAGCAGAGGAACTCCTGGCTCTTACCCCAACTGGCCATCTTTTCCCTCCTTGTCCATTAGTCCCCAGCAACTCTTCATCACTTTAGGGTGCATCCGACACATGTCTTCTGATGATTCCCTAGTCTTCCTGAGAGACTCAGCACAGGACCTATAGTATTTCATATGTCAATTCATCGATCTTTTTAAGTTAGACTGCATTCTAAGAATTCATTTTAAGTGATTTAACTTGATCTAATATTATTTTAATTTTAAAGTATTGTAATACCCACAATGATTT